AGCTTATTACAAGTAATATTAATATTAGAGAAGTCTTTTTATCACAATTTTGCATTTATATCTCCAGAATAAGTTTAAGCTCTGATTGGTGAGTTATCAGGTTTTATTAGCTTAGATGTTTTTTTACTAATATTCTAGTAATTACTGCTCTAGTAGATACAAATACCATATATTTTTCTTGTTTTAATAACTCATATCCTATTTATATAGCTTTAGTTTCTCATAAAGAATTTCAACTGTTTTACTTATATAAGGCTGATACTTATTATTAACTACATGGATATTTTCATTATAATAAATTCAGAGAAATCTTAGTATTGATTCATTTGTAAAGGCATTTATCACTAATATATGTTTTATATGTTTTACTAATCTTAATACATCACATATTACATTCTCAGATTTTTGTACTAGATATTTAATATATGATAGTATTAGTTTCATTGAAAATAGTTATAAACTTACAATCTGTAATCTCAATATAAAAAAACTCTCAACTTATATTATAATAATATTCCACTTATATATATAGATAAATCTCCTTATATATTTTGGTAATTGCAAATTTGAAAACTGAATAATTTTAATAAATCAAATTTCACTTTGAATTCATTGTTAAGAAATTTTTAATAAGAAATCCAGAAATAATACAATAAAGCAGAAATATTTTATACCTTATCTTTTAGTTCTATAATGATTTCTCATAGTATAATATTTTTTCATATTGCTAGAGATAAACAAATTAGCATGGTTATTTTTTTAGGATTTAAGAAATTAAAATATGATTTAAGAGTATTATTTAACTTTTCAACATTAATAAGTTTTTCTGGTAATTCTATAAGAGAATGTGGTTTTACTATAATATTAACTGTTCTTTTAGCTATTTCTCGCTTAGGTATTGTAAGAATTTTAGTTGCTTTTCTAAATACTAAACCTTTATAGTCTGGCTTATATTATTTTTGCTGATAACATCTAAGTATAAAGTATTTATTACTTTAAAAAAAACATATAACTAATCTTTTTCATGACTAATATTACAAATGAGATATGCTTTTTAATGACTGAATTTGAAAGTTGACAAAACCTTCCTAATGTTATCAACCTCAAATCATTCATATTTTGTAATAAATAAGTTAGCTTATTCTCTTGGAAAATCAGTTTTATCTTTGATATATTAGAATCTCTTATCTTTTTCTGGCTTCTCAGAAGAAAAAGTCTGTGGCCAGATTTCAGAATAATCAGATTTAGATAGAACTAAATAATTCTTTTGTTTATAATACTTTTCTTAACTAAAGAAACTGCAAATCTTTTAACTTTTATTATTTTTTGCTGATCTAAGAAAACGAAGGCTGAAATGTAACTTATAAAGCCTAAGATCAATAAACTTTGAATATAGTTTTCTAATTCTATTAGTAACTTTTTTACAAAATCTCTGAGATCTCAATAGTTAATAAAGTAGGCATTAGAATATATAATATGCTAATTGCATAATATTATTAGATAAACTGGTCAAAGCAAATACATTTAAGATTATAAAATGTTTTAAATCAAAATATAATATATCAGTACAAGTAATTAAGATTCTAGATAATAAATTATTGTAAGAAATTTTATTTTCATTTAAGGAAGAAAGTTCAGGATTATAAAATTAGGGTTTTATTTCACTTTAATGTCAAGAATCAGATAAAGAGGTAGCATTTATAAGCATTAAACATTTCATAAAATTTCAGATAGATAATCAATAACTATAAAATCCTTTTCTACCACTCAAATAATGTATTTATCAAAAATTTCATTAGAATAATAGACATCTAGAAGAGTAATATCATCTTTACTATTAGACAAATATTGGAAATATATATGATTATTATAGTCAGACTCATAATATATAGTCTACTATACCTGAAAGAAACTTATTACATCATTTATTTTAGAATTGGGTTTAAAAATTTTTTATAAAATAGTATAATAATATATATGCAAGAAACTAATATAAAATTACATAAAAATTTGCAAAGTTTAAAATAAAAAAATATATATAATCAATTCTAATATTAATGCAGTAGTATCTAAAAGTATTAACTATACTAGACATGGTTTTAAGAATATAGGATTAGAAAATATAATAAACTTTAGTAGTACTCAAAGGTAAAATTTATTAGCAAAGTAATTGATATAGTAGTATTCAAAAATAATTAATATAGTAATAATCCAAATTAATTAAACATAAAGATACAACAAAGTAGTAACTATGCAAGTAAGTATTCAAGAAATATAAGAATATATACTTTTAGTAATACCTAAAGGTAAAATATAAGAGAAAGAAAATAAGAAATTACCCTTTTAAGTATTATCAGCAATATGTGAGAAAGAAGTTAGAAAAAGTAGAAAATTCAGAAAATATAAGAAAAAAGTATATAAAAGTTATGAAAGCTGAACTGGTTTAGCATTTTGTGTTTCATCCTTAGTAATCAGACAGATTATAGAAAGTAGAATTATAAGAATAGCATAATATCAGTACTTTATGTTTTACTTGACAATAAAAGAAATATATTATAGTTAGGATTGGTAAAATCCTAAAAAGTTCTAATTGATCTTTATGAATCTGAAAATAATTTTTATTTATATATTATTAATTAAATTTTTTAATAATAAATTTATCTTTTTAATTATTATATTAAATAAATTTTTTATTAATTTAAAATAAAAAATTTTTTTTTAAAACTTAAAATATACTTAATTTAGGATCTGATCTTAGGACCTAGATCCTAAATCTAATATTTTAAAAATTTTTTAAATTTTAAAAAGAAATTTTATTTTATTTTAATAAGTAACATTAATTAAAAAATTATTTATAATGATAATATTTAAAAAAAAATTAATCTTTAAAACTAATAATTTTTATCAAATTAATTAGGACCAATTAGGACTTTTTAAAACTTTTCCAACCCTAATTGCAATATGTCTTTGAAAAATAGTAAGATTGTAAATTCAGCATTTTGTGTCTTATCTAACAATCAAGAAATGGTAAATAATCAAGAGGGAAAATATATGGATTGCAAGTTTAATACTTTGTGTTTCAATCTGATAATCAAATGAAAATATAAAGATAGGATTGCAAGTAAGTTTAGCATTAATTCCTGGCAAATACAAAGGTTGATCTTAGTATTTCTGATTCTCCAATCATTTGATCTTTCAGTTAGAATTACAAATCATATGTTATAAATTCAGCTAGAATTATGTCATAGAACCAGCTACAATTAATCAAAATTTTACTGTAAAATATACTGTATTATCTAATACAATTTTTTTTGGTGATTCATTTAGTACATTATAGTCTATATAGATATACTATATTTTGCTTAACTAATATATATCCAAATAGACTATAATATACTATTATATATTAGTCTGAACTAAGTAACATATTAATTATTAATATAATAATATGTTTATTTAATCTAAAAATTGTATAATTCAATTTTTTTTAAGATTTAATAATTTAAATTAAATTTATAAAAATTCTAATCAGTTTTAATTTGCTTATAATTTAAATTAAATTATATAGTAAATCAAAAAAGCATTTGTGATTTAACTAAATTTATATTAAAATATAAAAATTTTAAAATTTAGTAAATGTGTTAAAAATTGTATTAATAAAACTAATATACTTTCATTATTACATCATAAATTTTTAAAAAATAAAATTTATTTATATATAAAAATATAAATACACTTTTATATTAATAATTAGAAATTTTTTGTATATTTCACCTTTATTTAAATTTGGTATTTTTAATAAAGTATAATTGATTAGCTTAAAAATCATATAAAAATTACTATTTAGGTATAATCTTAATAAATTAAAAAATTTTTAACTTTATATATTTAATATATAATATTATATTTTCAATTTAAAAAATGAATTTTTCAAAATTTTTAAGTAATCTGATCTATTTTCAAAAATAGAAAAATAAGTTAAATAAGTTTATTAATTTAATAATATTATTAATAATGAATTTTCACATTTTCACCAAATATTTAAATATGAAAACCATTTGATTATAAAATAAATTTGAATTTCGATATTCAAAATGATACCTACCCTTACAATGGTAAATTTAATTTTTATTACATTTTAATCTAATACTATAATGCAATAAAAATTAAAAAATCCTCAGAACCACATTTTTCTAGCAAACTTTAAATATTATACCTTTTTTTTTTTTTTTGGAGCATCTTTTTAAATTTCTATTGAATAATTATAACAAAATTTTAAAATTGGTAAAGAAAATTTTTCGTTATTTTGTAAGTTCTGACTAAAAATTTCTTTCATGGACGAAAAAATTTTTTAAAGTCTCATTGAGCATTTTATAATTCCATATAAAACACTAAATTAATACATAGGTGAAACCGCCGGGCGGGAAATTAGAACTATCTTCGGCTTGAAAACCATATTTGGTAAATTTGATTTTTTCCCGGAGATTCACCAGATTCACCCTTCTTGTTTCATGTATTTCAAAGGTCACAATATTTTCGGTATACCTACAGTATATTCACCGATTATATAAGTTAATTCAATCCATCTAATTTTGAATATTTATGTATGGAATTTTATAAATTATGTGCAAGCGGAATTACCGCACTTTATGACTATATATGAGTAGGTGAATATTCGAAAACCTATCATAAGTTTCCATTATCAAACATTCGCTCTTCTTTTTTTGGGATTGACATGTGATTATATAGAAAATGGCTTTGATATTCCTTTTTTCGAATTAAACTTCACCATTAAGATAAAAGGGATAGCTGCTAGAAACCAGCTTAATTTTTACACCAATGCGTTTATTGACACCACTTACATTCTATTGTAAAGAACGATAGATATAAGAAATGGTATAATTTTTGTTCTATACAGATTTCCAAATTTGGAATGATCGCCCAAACAGTTAGAATATAAGTATGTTCCTTTTGCCTACTAAACATAAAAAATATCAAACATGTTCTCAAAATTGCCTATAGAATGTCTTTTAGAGATATTAAAATCGCTAAACACACATAATGACTTATATCAATGTATCTTTGTAAACCGAGCATGGTGCAGTGCTGCCATACCACTAATCTGGAGTGATCCTTGGCAACATGTTTATGAATATTATGACCATGAGGAAGAATTAGAGGAGGACCTACCGGAAATGTTGCTTTCAACTTTTATTTCATGTCTGTCTGAAGAAGACCGTAACTTTTTAATTGAATCCGGGGTAATTTTAATGGATTGGATGAAAAAAGGAACATGCTTTGATTATCCAACCTTTTTAAGACATCTCAACCTTAATGATATTAGTTATGGTGCTAAAAGATTCATTTCGAATAACTTTGGAAAATATGATTTGAATTTAACCAATTTTCTCATTGAGAAAATTGGGAGTTTATCCGTGAAAAAAGTTAAAAGACTTGATTTACTTGGATTTATTGATCGGTTTAATCTGATTACCACTCCTTATGTCGATTATTCATCTGTTATGTTAAAGTTTCTGCCTGAGGCGACAAACGCTTTCGAATACATTAGAAAATTCGTCTTTAAAGGAGATATTAAATCCGAATTCTTATATGGCCTAGCAAATCGTTGTAGAACGATTGAAGATTTGGAAATTCACGATATCTTTAAGGATGATGATGCTTTGGCATATCTTATACGATCTCAAAAATCATTACGTAGTTTCTATCTAGAAGCTACAAAAAAGAAAACTTTTGAAATTACTAGTATTCAAAATGCTTTTATAGGTATTGACTCATTGATTTGCCTTCGAATGAAGCACAAATTATTTCCGTTAAAATTTTTTATAAAATGTACTGGATTACAAAAATTACATTTGGAATCTATCAATGATGATGTTCAGGATATGGAGAAATTCGTTAACCATGGTTTCCCGGAATTAAAAAATTTGCGAATTCGTGTTAAAAATATTTCAATTAAACATATCTCCTTATTAATCAATAATACGCGAGGACATTTTGATGAACTTTTTATCTTTGGGAAAGTTAAAGACCCAGAAAATGCTTTTATTTTCCGTGACTCGCTTGTTAAAAAGTGCGTGAATTTATACATTTTAAGCCTTGCTTTTCTAAATATAGAAAATTTTATTCCACCATTACCCGTTTTTTTTAAAACTTTTAAAAATCTTAAATATCTTGATTTGATGTTGTCCATTTCCGAGAATCAACGTAATATTGGTGCCGATTTGGTTGAGATCGCTCCGTATATTCAAAAAAAACTAGGTTATATTCATTTTCCGAAAAATTGGTATTGTGATAAGGAGTCAAGTAAGAAATTTTTTAATATTTTAGACAGAAAAGATTTGGTTATTATGATGCGTTAGGATGGATTTATTTTATTTTATTTTATTTTTTTTATTTTAATTTATTTTCTTTAAAGTTTTATTTTATTTTATTTTTTTGTATTCTTTACGTGTAACAAAAAAATATATTACAAATATCCATAAATATAATAAAATGAATAAAAAAAATATTAATGGTACGGCTTAAAGCGATCGAACCGAAAATTAAAAAAAGGTAAGTTGAAAAATTGAGAATCTTTCGATGGCTACGGCCCGCAGTGATTCAATCGCCTAAAAATGAGTAACAAAATTTAATGAAAAATAAAAATAAAATAAATAAAAAAAATTATTAAAAAACTTTTTTATGTATCGCAGCCTGAAAAGAGTCCTAAATAAAAGAAAGGGCGCAATCAAATGTATTATCTTTTTATCGTTATAACCAGATTAATTGCATAAGATTTTTTTTTGTTAAGCTAAAAAATTTATATATTTGCATGCAAAGCATTATGAAAGTTGTATACCTTTTCTAGCAATTCTAGCAGTTGAGGGCTTTATCGGATTCATAAATTCGGATATAATAAATCCGGATTGAATCCGAAGGAACCGGATATAATAAATTCGGATTAAATCCGGTTCCAATTTTTGAAAATAAATAAATCCGGATATAAAAAATAAATCCGGTTCCAACCTCTAATTTGATCTTATTCAGGATTCTTTAGATCGAGTTGGTCCCGATCGAATTAATACCCAATACCTCGCAAATCTTAAATACACGGAGTATAATCCAACCGGGAACTTCTATTTTTGATAAAAAAATCGTTTATTTAGTACTTACCTTATTTTTTCTTTCTCGCGAAACTAACGATAAAAAAAACGGTAAAATCATATATTCTTAAATTTATTTATTTATTTATTTTTAAAAAACTAAACAGATATTTACATATATCCTTTTAAATACTAAAAATGAATCTGACGTCATTAAAAAGATTTATATTATTATTACAAGTATTTTAATTAATGAAAATAGCCTTATCATCAATAGGGAAACCTAATTTTTCCACCAAACATTTTCTGATATTATCGTTAAATTGACTACTACCGCACACGATCAACTTAACTTGAGTAGCATCGGTGGCTAATGATTTCATATAATTATGACGTTCATTTAACATTATCATTTCACTTGTTTGATGTGATAATGTATTATTTTGTAAAGGGGAAAAGTAATAAGGTAAATATTGTGAATTGGTTGAAAAAGGACGAATATGAGGTGATGTTTGTGTTGGAACTTGTATCGGAGGAGGTAATACTCTATTAGATGCACGACGAGGATCATATTGATTCTCATCATTATATTGTTGCTCATAAATCTGATCTTCGCCATCATGTTCAACGACTTCTTCAATGTCATGAATTTGATTATTACCCAAATTATTCGCACCTGATGTGGAATGAAGATGTTGATAACTATTGCTTATGAGGGTGCTTGCGCTTAATACACTTCCACTTCCACTTGCGACACTTAACCTTGGTGGAATTGCTGGTGGAGGTACGGAATAATTTTGACTAATCCAATCATACAATAAAGTTTCATCGATCATTCCAGTTAATCCTCTCCAAATTGGTGGTGGTTTCGATAAGATATAAGTAATCTTAAGTTTCCCTTTAAGTATTTGACATAAATAATCTAAATACTTTGGTTGGATCAAATCCGCTATTGTGTCGTTCGCATTTAATAAATATAAATTGAAATCTGAATTGAAAGCGCTCGCTTTATCCAGATGATATTGTATCTTATATAATTAAAATTTTAAATTGTTAGTATCATAAATAAACGTATAAACATTGGAAAAAAAAGGATTGGAACTTACCAATTGTAACATTGGGGTAATTCCAGTACCACCACAAACCATGAACAAATGTTCCCAACATAAATCTTCTCTTTCTTTATTCAACAATATTCCACTCCTACCATCAAGTATATTGTTCAAATAATTATTATTACCGCCAATATTATTACTATTCCCAATACCACTATTATAAATTGAATTTCCTCTACTCATATCATACATTGAGGGTTGTTGGTTAAACGATCTATTATCGCGTCCATCGCGTCCACCAATCATTCTAGCATCGTTACCAGCACGATTTGGTGACGTTGCTGAAGGCGATGATGGCCTACTAATTATTGAACCCGTTGGTTTGATTGACGGAGGTAGCGTTGCATGTGACATTCTATCCGCTATGTCAAACGGTCCTCTCACCTTGATCTCAAAATTCCTCAATTGTCGATTCTAAAAATAAAAATGAATGGAAATAAATAAATAAATCAAGGATGCATATTTTGTCAACAATTTCTAATAACCATTCAATTTATCTTACCAAATGTTGAGACATTACACCATCTTTATATAATTTAACCAATATACAAAAACTATTATCAGTCGGTCCTTGAAGAGGAGTATATGGTCTAATAGCCACGTGATTATTAGCATAGCTCATAATTTCAATATAATCACCGGGAAGAAATCTTGGTAATCTGTCTTTTGGATGGATAACTTGAAACGTGAATTTTTTAACAGGTCTTTCAGCATCATATCTAGATGCTGTTTCAATATTTGTTAAAATATAACGACGGAAAATATTAGGAGAATGTTGATGAGGTTGTAGTTCTGCCAACTCAGATTTACTTAATGCTATTTTTGAAGATAATGATGGGGGTCCTTTTACATTCATCATGCCTTCTTCAGGATCTAGGATCCTGGCAATTACCATACTAGCTAATTTTGATGTAGCAAATTTGGAATGTCGATGCATTGCTACCCTACAATGTTTGAATGCAGAAGAATTAATCATGTCAACGGCATTTGCTATACTGTGAGGTTTATGCATCGTTTCATGTTGCCTTTTGTCCCTATAATTGTTATCTGTGAGTACCGATATACTATTATTTTGTTGTTTATCATCATATTCATTACTAAAGTTCTGATTAATCACTGTTACAACTGATGGATCGAAAAAGAAATCGTTGGTAATATCTGTCCCAATGACACGTTGTAAAATCTTTTGTCCACCTGGATGTATTGGGATCCATTTATGGATATCAAATACTAATCCTTCCGCTATAACGAGGCTAGCTCCTGTCATAACCCTTTGATTAAATTCCTATATTATAACAAATCAATAAAAAATTTAACTATTTGATACTATAAAATTTTAAAAAAAAGAGTTTTCCGATTTAATATTATACATACGCTCCATGATATGGCGGGTAAATGTTCATAAAATTTATGAGGAATACAAGCACGGATACGTTCCGATAAATCATCGGCTTGTCTTGCTGGCCATAAGAATTGCATATTTTTAATCTTGTAATAAAATTCGCTTGCTGTTATCACAAATCCAAATAAAACTTCAAAACGCGAATTTTTTTTTTTTGTTTTAAAAAAATAATTACAAATATGGTTAATAAAAAAATTTAAAAACAACATAAAGTTATCTTTCTTTATAATACTTACTTAACCATGCTAAATAGGCCCAAATAAATGCTTTGTCCGCGCCATATTTAATCAATCCCAAGAATATTTGCACCCTATGTAAATCAAATAGATAAGAATTTAAAAATCTGAATTGCATTCAATAGAATTCAAAATAAAATTTACCATGCAGCTACAAGTACGGTAACTCCCAAGTAAAAATGTAAATGTTTTAAATGACAAACAACTCCAGTAGCTGCTGATTCCACGTTAGCCAACCCCCAAATCGCCAATAAACCTAATGCAATTTGAAATGCTGTAACCGAAAAGATTATTAATCCCAATCTGATATAAAAAAGGGTGAGTTAAAAAAATGATTATTATAAAGTATAAAGGAAGTCAGGTCAACCATTTTCAACTTACATTGCATGGGGACTAGCTGCATGCGTATCTACTGCCGACATGGCCACTGCTCCAAATGTAGCTACTAAGACACCACCAAAGAGATTCAAATTTCGATGTTGTGACATATATCTAATCATGAAATTAAACGTTATAAACTACTCGCTTATTTTTTTTTTTTTAAAAAAAAAATAAATTTATACATACGAGTCGATATGCCTCAAATATCTAACGATCCATACCGAACCTATGATAATTCAAAAAAGATCATATTAACATCTTGCAAAAATGCATCTTTTAAAAATACCTTTTAATCTTACCTGGGAATAAAATCCCCCAAATTGTAAACATGACAATCCCGTGCATTAGCAATAGTCTTCTTTGTTTAGCATATGAGTTTGAAGTCTCACCCGTTTTGAAATTTATTGTTTTTTTACCCCGATTTCCACCATGATAGGTTAAAATATTTGAACTAGGATTCCAAGCATAAACCACTAAATAAATCATATAAAAAAAAAAAACGCTTTAACATATTAAAAAGAAAATTATTTTTGGTAATAACATTCTCATTTTACTACATACTTTCAATAGTACCATCGATAGATTTTCGATTTTTAGCATTCAAAGGCCGCTTAACTTGAACTTGAGTAATACCATTTTCAACTTTTGTTTTGCTATCCATTATTATCAAAATTTGATCATCAGCAGGTAATTCCTTAGGTTTAATTGCACGTCCGATACCTCTGAAATTCTTTCCAATAACACTATGTTTACCATCAACTTCTTGATTGTAAAATATCATCATATCAGTATCTAACATAGCAGCTTCAGTACTAGGATTAAATCCTATACCGAACCATGAATTTACACTATACATTGTAATCAAGAAGGTAATATCAGAACCCTCCACAGTCCAATGAAGATTAAAACCATCAGCAAGTGTATCAGAACCCTTAAAATCATTATTTTCAGTTTTGGTTTGTGGAATAGGCGGTTGTACAAACCAAAGATTTTGTGGATATGTTACATATTGTGGAGTATTTCTTTCTAAAATTTGTAATAATGTTGTTTGCTGTATTTTCGATATCTCATCCTTGGTAAATCCTGCATCTTTATTTTCATACCAAAATCTATCAGAATCTCTTATCTTTAACCATGATTCAGAAAAACTTTTTGAAAATAATTCCCCATAATTTCCTCCATTAACGTGATCTTCGGCCAATCCACCCATTAATGCCTCAACTCGATCTACGGTTCCATATGTTTCTTGTAATTTTTTTTGTACTTCGATATCGCTTGAGATCTCTGCCCAAGATGATTTTCTTGGTAAATTAAATGCTTCCCTTGCATCATTATATGACGGAATACCGTGATCTCTACCTCGAACCAAATCTAGACTAAAGAATAAATAAATAGAGTAGATTAGAAATATAATGTCATGATATATCAAAATCTTATTATAATCGTTATCTTACGCAACAATATCCACATATATAGGTCTACTAAAATAATGTCGCCTACAATGATGTAATTTTTTTTGTTAAATATAGATATGTTTATATTCATCACAATAAAGCGATATCATTAAAATTATATTTACATAAATTCCGAAAAATAGATATCGACTTCTTCTTGTCTTTTATAATAAAATAGATATTATAGTAATAATCGTTATAAGTTAACAAAGTTAAAAGAAATACAAATGAAGAGAAAATTACATAAAATCACTTACATTTGAAGCGCTAATGAAAGAGCAATGGTTGGAACTCCATAAGTTGTTAATAGACCGTTCGCTTTTAGATCGTGTAACGATAATATCGCAAGTAAATCTCCACGTTCATTTACCATATTATAAAAATCGCTGTATAAATTATATATATATATATATATATATACAAGTTTAATATCAGTAAAGGCTATAAAATTTATGATATAATATGATATCCCTGTTAATTATACCTGATTTCGGAATGTCCATAACGAAAAGTCACCGAAGCAAAGAAAGTGTCAATAGTGGGCCTAAGGTTAGGGTCATATGCTTTATACGGAGGTAAATTAGCTCCGAGTGCAGTTCCAACTTTGATCGAAACATCAAAAATATATGTAAATAATGAACGTCAAACAGAATTCACAAACTTGGCATAAATAACGTAACTTACGATATTCATAATAGGTAATTCTTTGAATAAATGCTATCACCCATCTTCTTGCCTCTTGAAAGTATTTTTCATCGTCCCAATCATTACCATGTATCTCATATAAATCGTCACATAAACGATTATGTTCACGTAAAAAGAGCGTAGCGAACATATCAGTAAATACATTCTTTGTTTTCGCTACAATTCCCGTAATTAATTCTCCATCCGCATTTTGAGGTGGATATCCAAATTGTCCATCAGGTGTTTGAAAATATTCCAATTTCATTTTCCCATTATTATTAAAATCACGTAAACTTTGTAATTGAATATCGTTATTACCATAAATCGTGGACGCGTCAAGGAATGATGTGGCCATATTTACTCCTGTTTGACCGCCATCTGGTACCGATCGATTAAACGGTATGGCCGTCTATTATAATATTAAAGGAAATTTGCCTCAAGTTACTCGTATATGATGTTATTATGATACAAATAAATTGCTTGTGCTTACTTCGGTATAACTAAAAGTGTCGGCGGCTGGGCCATTACGGTAACTTGACAAATAATCTTTATCATCTTGAGGGATATAAACTCCTTCTAAATAGGTCTGCCCCAGAACGGGACTAGTAACGATATCCATTCTCGCGAAAAATGCCCAATATGTTAACTAAAGATAATTTTTTTTTTTTAATAAAAAAATTTGTTATAAAATGCCGCAGCAATACTACGCCAAATAAGAACAAACACTTACGATATGTGAATTTTTTCTTTTACTCTTGAATTTTTCCAAAAGTTGAAAATTAAAAGAATCTTCAACTTTCAAAGCCATAGCAGTAACTTTATCACTAACACATCTAGGCAAAGGAAAATAATTTTCAGGTAATTGGGCACTACAACTAGTTAGTGTAACTGGAACAATAGCTTCTCCATATTCGCCCGGTGTAGAAATCATTTTAGTTGTACCATCATCCGCGAATCGAAATGTTGATGGAACTTCTCTGGTGAAAGGAGTTTTCATGACACCATCTAATGGATACAATCTATTATTACCTTCGCCACTTATAGGACGATTCTCTTGACATGTCTTTGTTGCTAATAGAATTACAAAGATAATGACATGGAATAACGACTTGATCAATTTATTTTTAATCATCATTTTTTTTTTATCTAATAAAAATTTCTCTGTTTACTTTTAAATGTTAGGATTTTCACTTCATTAAGGTCTAATTTTAATTTTTAAATACGTTAATCATTCAAAAGAAATAGGTTACTATGTGAATTCAGAATACAGGAATTTTTTTTTTTAAAAAAAAAAAAAATCCTAATCCTAAAATTTCATTAACAAAAAAAAAAAAACGATACTTTTGTTTCTTTTATACTAGTATTTTTCTCGGCTACACAACTTTCTTGTAATACATGGAAATGGTACAAAGTTGTTAATTTATATTCACAATGATTTTTTTTTTATTAAAAAAAAAAAAAAAACTTTGACGCCTTATTCATTCATCTAATGATCCTGTGAATGTCTTTCTCGGACGAATATTCCATCATTAAAGATTTAAAAAAATTTTTTTTTTTTTGATATAAATAGTAATTAGTCGTTAAATTGAATTAAAACTGGCTATAATAGGCAAAAGAATAATAATACTATTTTTAACAAAGGGCGAATAAAAGCGGGAAAGAAAATTAACCAGAAACCAGAGCCTTCGTTGGGCAATTTAATCGGCGTAATTCAAGCTAATTAATGCCTTCAGATCTTTTTTAGCCAACAAATTGTAATATATAAGGCTCGATTTCAATTAATGCCAACTTTATGTTTTACCAAATTTTATCTATAATAGGTTTCAAGAGTTTGAATTCAGCCGATTTCTAGATTCTAGAACATACATCGAGAATTGGATTTCATTCGAACTAAAAAAACTATAAAAATTTAAACGTAATAAAGATATCTGATAAATCTCACATTCCGTATAACAATGACAATGAAAGGGAGTTCATCGTGTTACAACTGCAAATGAAAAGGTTTATTTTAAATTTCATAAATTAGAAATTGCAACGCCAAGGTTACAAATAACTACTAGTGAACTTCTTTATGTGTGTGAATTCGAAATTCATCGTTCTCATAAATTCCTTTATCGTCTTTTATTCTTTGAATGAAATGATGTTATTGCGCTTTGAATTGAATGAATTCATCTCTAAAAATAATATTTTGCATGAAAGAAGCATGCAGGCATGTGCGACATCTGGAATCGTTTTTTGAATTATATAACTTCTTTTAGAATGTCGCATTTTTGATTATGCACGGAAACATCCACAAAGAATTCCTAAACAATAGTAATTTTAGTAATACTTCGCTAATGTACGTAAATCGGAATTACAAACTAAACAAACCGGTACCTTTTGACAATAGAAAGAAGGAAACCTCCTGTCAAACTTGATGGTGTCTTATTTAGAACAAAAATTTTTGTACCATATCAATTTTTCTTTTAATTATCAAAAAGTTTGTTTGGCTGAATATTACACACGAATTCAGCCAGCTGATTATAAATCTAAAATCTAAAAATTCTCCCGAAAATAAATTAATTTAAATTTTAAAATTTAATAAATAATATTACAATAATCCACTCCATTTATATCCCTCCCCCTTTTTTGTATCACCATCAATTAAAATGTATACAAAAACGCGTAAATATTTATACTTGAATGGTTGTAAATAATTTATCAGTTAATTATGAGTTTTACTTGTACCAGCAACATTTTGAATCGGGCCACCATGATTATTTTCTTGTGTTTTCTCTTGCATCATTTGCTTGGCATATTTATCATCTTGAATATCTAAAGGGATTTTATTTTTATCGATTACAACTTTACTTTTTTCATTAAGGGTTGCACCTTGATTTGTAGCATTAATTCCATCATTATGAAATTCATTTATAAAATCATCTGAAACATTTTGATCATCAGGTAACCAAACTATTGGTTGTGCGGTTGTGATAGCAGGATGCATGAACGTTTTGGACCCTTCTTCTTTTTGTAATTCTTCTTCATCACCTTCTTTTACATGTAACACATCTTGCTTTGTATAATCATCCTCTTCAACAATTTCTTGTCCATGTTTATTTGGGACAATTTCATCACGATTATTTCCTACCAAAACCTTTCTTGATTTCATGTCAATTATACCCGTCAAATCAACAGGTAAAAATTCGGCCTTTGGATTATGTTTAAAGATCTTTCGCATGGCTACTAAAACTATGAGCGATGTTATTAATAATATAATACACAATATGCCTTGCACGACAGCGCCTTTAAGGAACATTAATCCAGTAAGTGTTAATTGGAATATATAAATCCCTGTAAACATTTGATAAACTCCCTTAGGAAACAATAATCCTCCCGTTTGAGTTGGCTGTTCGTATACGTAAAGGAACTGATAACGATAAACCAAGTAATGAACCATAAAATGTAAGGTAACGATTGGAAGGATTAATGGCTGTACTGTAGAATATACGAAACCTATACAGGCTATCAATATATGTGGAGGGAAAGCCGTTCCCCAATCTTTAAATAACATCGTTCGTTCCAATTGCCAAATTTTTCTAGGAGTTTTAGCTAAAAGTTTCCTAAAGATAATGTCCGAAATCAAAGGTGCAATTTGAAATATTTCTAGAGCGCTAGATGATATCGTAAGAAGGACGTAGGTAAGGAAAAATGTTGAAGCTAGTGGAAGATTTACCGCTAAAATGTCAATTGCTTGTGTTGGGTTCTCAATAAGATTTGGCAACGCCGTAAATATACCATTAGCGAATGTTGAAATTAATAGTACATTCACAACCTAGCATAAATTCACACACGCAAATATATTAATTATTAATGCGAAACAATAAAAATCAATCAAGATAAATAGATAAATAGTTCATTTTTATACCAAAAAGAAGTAATATTTGCTCTGCAAGCTAAGATCAACTGATGAATACGTAACAATTCCTTCGAATCTCGACAAAACTAAAAAATTTACGAGTATTAGTATTAGTAATAAAAAAAAATTCGTATAGAAAATATTACATTACGTCACCTACATTTTAAAATTATTGGCAATATAAACATCAATGTCGCTAATCCTAAAGCTGGTAAAATACCCTGAATTATACCAAAGACCACTTTTGGAAGACCCCCTATAATATTTTTCAAGAATGGAAGTTTTTGCAATGATTCCAATTGACTTATAGACGCGACAAATGTAACTAAAAATTTATCACATCATTTAGAATTATATATTTTTAAAAAAAAAAATTTTTTCTTTTGTAACCTAATAATACCTGGAAAAATCCAAAGTAATACAAGAGCAACAACAACGGCTAGACTAATAAAGCGTCTGACCATTCTTTGATTACTCTTCAAATTCAAATTTTCCCAAATAATATCATCGGGGGCAATATCAGTTAACCTTGGAACCGTAGAAGTAGCAGCTAACTGAGCTCCGATATAGTTATTAAATTGTATAAAAGCTGAATTCAATTGTTTAAAAGCATTAGGGTCTTTTTGTAAATTTAAAATTTGTTGATTTAAGTTGCTTAAATCAGAACGATATGTTTCCAGGGAATCAACCTTTTTTCCTATAATTGGTATTTTACGGTGTTGTGGACGTGTTGTACTCGGTGCGCTGCTTCCATTTTCGGCATTAGATTCTTTGGATCGTGATTTTGCTAAATTCTTTGCATGTTGCGTTATGTATGTTGTAGCGGCACCTTCTAATTCATTCACTAATTTGTCTCGATCAGCTACGATACCTACAAGTTTAGATGGTTCCCTATTAAGCCATATGCGCTTTACTCCACCCGGAAATATATCGAATAAAGTTTTCAACGTTTTAGTATTATTCATATCATTTGGAATTCCGACAACTAATATAGTGGTCGCCCGTGGAGAATCTCGATGTTCGTCAGTTGTGAGATATTCATGGCGCAAGCGAACAAATGTACGCAACTCATAATATAGTACATACATCGTAGAACCTATTGATAAGCGAGAAGATCAAAATAGGATTGATGATGGAAAAAATATGATCCATATACACAGTAATAATACGTACAACTGAATAACCATGTGAGAATCAAGTGAGCCCATAATCTCTTACTGTCGGAAATGTTACCAAGAGTGAATTGATCCAAGCCAGCGCCACCTTTTTGATTTTTAGCATCAAGTGGTAGTAAAATGATCGTTCCAAAGATACTAAAGACACCAAATAACTTCATAAACATTCCCATGAATCTTATAAACATAAACGAGTCAAGACCTATTCGCCTTATAACTTCCTCATCGGAAACCCTTAGAACCGGTAGAACCCATGCAAAAAGTCCTGATGGTAATGGTTCCGACCTTTTCCTAGTGAATACTGCGGTTAGTATGATTACTGCGGTCAGAGCATCATCAGAAATCAACGGAAAAAATCTTTGGCTTACTTTTCAGGGACCAGGTAAGTTCGAGGTTCATAAACCTTTTTATTCCGTTTCCTTAAAATATCGAAAGCAACAAATACCGCAACTGAAATAGATGTATTGAAAATTAAAGAAGAAGTAAACGTCTGAATGGACGAGTCAGTGTTAAACTGCTCGTCTACTGGAGACGACATAATTTACAAATTTATAAATCTAAATATATTTTTTTTTTTTTAAAAGGAAAAATTTTCAAAAAAGACCGAGAGTTTTCGTTAATGTACATTTATACAAAATTTTTTTTCATGTATATCCTGTTTTAGAACATTCAAATCTAATTATGTGAAACCTTACATCATAATTCCATTAGATTTTCAGACAATTATGATATGATCATGATGATGTAAAGATTCACGGGAAATTCAACAAATTATTCTCGAATCACATTTTTCATTTAAGCTGATCAACCGAGAGATTTCTAATTTTTGCCTTCATAATGCTTTTTGACTAAATCAAAAAAAAATTTCAATCTCAAGTTCCGTTAAACAGAAAAGCATCAATGAATGCTAAAATAAGTTACTCGCCAGCCATTGATGTATTAATTGTCGTTTCTTGAAACCTTGTGCAACCATATGAACCGTACTTTACTTGCCGATCAAAATTGACCAGTTGAATTAATTATATGTCTATATATAGTTATAGTTGAACGAGTAATAATTTCCTGTATCTAGTAATACCAAGATTCTCACGTGATGTACAAGATCTTTATTTTATTAAAAAAAATCCATAAGAAAAAATTTCATTTGATGCATTTAAAAAAAGTAGACTATGTTTTTTACGAAAACCAATACCCCTTTTTTTCACAGAATGTCAACCAAGTTATCCATTTGACGAATCCATCCAAAAAGAAGCAAATCAAAAATCCTTATAATAAATAGCTTTTGAGATAAAAAATTTTAGTTAATGTTTAAATTTTGTAAGTCATCATGTAAATATAAGCAAATCGCCCAATACGTGAAATTATTAGTCTGTGACTTTTTAATTTTGAAAACTGAGAAAAATCAAATAAAAAATCCACAATTTTTAATCTGAGTTCATTTTCCTTTTCGATACGATATCACTGCTCTTTCTTTATTACTCGGTTAGGGATCTTATTATTGACGTTAGAATATAATTTATGAAATTATACATAGATTTTTAGGGATTTTAAGTACACTTTAATATGTAAAATTAGCCCGAATCAATCGGATTATACAAAGGCACTAGTCAAGGTTTATATGTGTTCTAAATACATGTAAATAGCTGCTCTTCTAGGATTAGTAGACCTTAGTAATCAAAGAAAGCTTCACCTTCACGAAAGAACGGACATATGTTGTCAGAAATAAGTTTGTTCTTACTTGTTTCAACCCTAATTTTCTATTATTTATAAAATTTCTTGCTTGTTTAATCTCTGAAATTTTATTCTTTTGACAACCGTTAATATTTCTAAGGCACTGATTGTCAAAGTATTTGTATTTGAAAAAAAAAATCTGATTTATGTATTTATACGCAACTAATAAGAAAAATTATTAGCATAATATTTCCAATATTTCCATGTGAATCATTCTCTTTGACCCATTTCAAGACCAAATTTAAATAAGGAAAATTATGAGACTTTCCGTAAATATTATCCATCTAAGGAAATTTTCGTGCATGCATAAGCACTAAAATGGTCAAAATGAAAATAGAATGATCGAATTCTGGTTTTTTTTTAATTTTTTTTTTTAAGGCATGCTATCAGATTTATCATTGACTCTATTAAGAGATATTCGACAACTTTTGAGGATGCGGATGATTATGGAGAAGAATCCAATAAAGAAGTGTTTAAAGCACATTCTGTTATTTTAAAAGCAAGGTCACCATATTTTCGAGCGGCGTTTTCAACAAAAATGGGCAAAGAAAAAAGGAGTTATATTTACTTATAAAAAGCCGAATATCTCTCCAAAAATATGAAAAAAAAAAAAAAAAGTACAAAGAGAATTAATAGTAGCAGCGGTGAGCTTGTATTAGAGGAACTTGTCGAACTTATTAAGAATGGTTAAAAAGAAATATTATCCAAGTACTTCAAGGCATAAGACATGTGGCATTTTACAAGAATATTGCGAGATAGAATATGTAAGACGCTTCATTAAATTTTTAATGATTTTGCATTTCTTGAGGAATCCTCTTTATTAAAACGGGAGGACCTAAATATGAGTGAAATTGAAATCTGGTATTATGTTATTAGATGGGCATGTAACAAAATCCACTCCCTTCTACGAAATAAACAAAGAAAAAATTTTGATATTATAGAACAAACCTTAAAAGGATGTATACCGCATATTAAAGTTAGACCTTATAAAAATATTGCCATCCGATCTTAAAGAATGCATTAAAAAATTTTATTATGGTACCAGGAAGTGAATCAAAATTTAAATTTACTAGATTTCTTATGACGGTTCAACGTGCTTCTCTAATTTCTAGTTGGATTGATAATAAAGTTTTTGTTCATAACGATGATTTCCTTGAACTTTCCAAAGTTCCTTACGAATTTAGATTGTTAGCTTGTGGTTCTGTTGATGGGATTTCACGTTAAGTATTTCATGATAAATGTAATAACCAAGGTTCTACTCTTGTGTCGTATTAAAAGTTGGTGATTCCGATCAGCTTATTGGTGGTTATAATCCTGTTTGTTGGAGTTCTCAAGCCAATGGTTTTCGATAAAAGACAGTTTTATTTTTTCTTTGGTCAAGGAAACGCTTTGCAAAATGATGGCAATTTTGAGAGCAGAGTTGTGAATTCTGAACGAGCCATTCGTGATTGTACCATCGGTTATGAACGTGTTACTTAAGATCACTTTTTCTAAAAATTTTCGTTTTTATATACTGTTTATTCCTTTTAACTTGAAAAAACTTTTTTTTTTTTTTTTTTTTTTTTAGATATAATTGTAGTAATAATTAACAGACTGAGTCGCCTTTTTATTTTATACTGCAATGTTTAATTGATCGATTGTAATTATACGTGATCTTTTGAGCATATATATCAGTTTGGGTTTATTCTCAGTTTTGGATTGAAACCCGAAATCGAGAGCCAAACCTTCTGAAATTTATTAATTTTATTTTATTCATTACATGCGTTCCATATTTCAAGTACATTTTACAACTGAATACATCATCAAATTTGTGCGATAAAGAAAAAAAGGAGAAATTTTTACTTTTCAAATAAATAGTTTTCACACCGCGCCAAAATTACGCGATATTATACTTTGTATCTTATGGTAGAGTAGTCACAATTTTAATAAAAACCGATTCGACTCCGGTAAATATATATATTTTTTTTATTAAAGTTCATTCAAAGACCAAAAATGGTTCATCGCGTGAATTTCAGGCAAACTTATAATGCTGTTGTCTCCAAAGGTGATGTGGGAGTTAAATAATTTGCGTTTGTGTCAATTACTGTATTTATGTATTTATGTATTGAAGCCGTGATCTATGACTGCGGCGATCATCTGACAAATATTACGCTACTCAAATTAAATGTTAATATCTTTCCTCAACAAACTCAATAAAATGAGAGTTTAGGCGAGAATTAAACTGACATTAATTATTAGTAGGGTAATATGACAAATTGGTTTGTTATATAGGATATTTATCTCATTTATTATTATTAGTTATTTTATATAAATAGCATGTATCTTCCCTTTAGTTGAAAGATAACTCGAGATAGGGTTACCAAGAGTTCAATAAAGATATTGTTATTCATTTGCTATTACCTTTTGCCGTGTCGTGATTGTGATAAAGTTTTGTGATTAATTCGAAGGACGAGTAAAATTACGTGATTATTCTTACAGAAACCCGGTCAACAGTATATAGAGAACAGTTTCGTTTTATGCTTGCTTATTGATCCGAATTCATTGCTCGATTTAATTTTAATTGATGTAATTTTAAAAATTCAATAAAAATTCAACTTTTTGATGTTAAATAAATTGGAAGAACTTTCAATGGTAACTGAATTTTAATACATTCATCATTATTTACTCCTTTTTTTTTACAGACCTTATAAACACAGGAAAAAACATTTTAATTCTTGGTAAAGATTTCGCTACGCTTAAAACAAATGGGAGTGCATAGGTTCAGAACATTTATCGATTTAAATCACGAGACATCAAGCACATACGTTATCAATAACGGAGAATTTTTATTTCAAATTTAAATTTTTTTAATTTTTTTACAATTATTATTATATACATATTTTTTTATAAAGAATCTATCATCCTTTTTAAAGATTAAAATTGTCTATACTTTTCGTAATGGGAGGACATCATTTGAGGAGTAAGCAATTGAGGAAATTGAGGTTGAGGTTGGGGGGCTAAAATTTGTTGAGGAACACCTGGCATCATGTGAGCTGGGATCATTTGTTGTGAAAATATTTGTCGCGGTTGAGGAAAGTGAGAATATAAGAATTGTGATTTCACATATTGCGACGGGAGGATTATTTTTGATCGGCACAATTGATGAGGGTGTGCGAAACTAATTTGTGGAATTTGATGTGATAATGGATGTGAAATTGGATGTGTAATCGGATGTGTAATCTGATTTGGAATCGTTGCAACGAAATTACTTATGGGAGTATTTATTAATTGTGGTTGTCTTATAAAGATTTGCCGTTGTGGTATTGAAAGTTGTTGCATTTGATGTAGTTGTTGTGGCATATCATTTGGTGATTGCATAGCAAAACGTCCTTCAATCTTTGATAATTTTTCATCGTTTTCTTCCCGCTCATAAGTCTCCGCCTGTTGCATGATCCTATAGGCGATTCTTTCTTTATGTTCAACCCAATATGGTATCTCTTCCTTTCTAAGATTATTATGTTCTCTTATCGCCCGATCAACATCCCTCATCCAATATACATGAGACGCACCACGAAAAATACGTGGAAGGGTTCGAAGAATTTCATCTGGGACACGTAAATCAATATAAAGCGTGTCACGTCTTGGTAAAGGAAAAAAGAAAAATACTTGATCAATTTTTTTTATTCTTTGTTTTTATTCTTTTTTTAAATATATATAAATATATCTCTCTCTGATTAAAAAAAAAAAAAAAAAAAAAGAGAGAGTAGCTACCTCATCGTGTTTTTATCAAGACATGCTTCACAGCAACGTACGCGAAATTCCCAATAAACTCTAATGAAACCAATTCCTTGAACATGGCAAAATTGACAACCATTTTCCAGTTGCCTCAAAATGAAATAACTCTTTTCATCCAATTCGGGTGGGGGCTGCAATTGAAGAAATCTCAAGAATCTCATTCTTGAAGTTCTCCAAATCGCCTGAGTTTCTTGAGAATGAGGACTGCAGAGTAGTTCATTTAATTTTCTACACACCAATGTCAATGACAATAAATCACTTGGAGGTAAATGAGCACAAATTTGAGCAAATATTTCGTTGGGGACACTTGTAAAATTCTTTGGAAATGAATGATTAATTTGCATTTTCAAGATTGATCTTGTTTGTTGATTAGGTTTATCATCATTGGGTACTGTATCTTGAGGTGAGGGAATTTCTGTGACAATTGATTTAGGTAATTCTTTTGGTGATAATACAGGTGAAACGGAGATGGGTTCTTGTTTAACGTTCACTTCAATTGTTGAAGCTCTTCTTTTGTTGCTCCTTGTAATTACTTTACTGCTTCCTTTTCGTTTACGTCTGAAAAATCAAATCGCAAGGGAGAAAAATGTGTCAATATCTTGGAGAATTGAGAAAATTTAACAAAAATATCACAAAATATTTTGAATCAAACATACACTCGAGGACCAGTAATATTATTAAATTCACTCATGCTTAGATATTTTTATTTTGTAAAGAAGTTTAAAAAAATATGAGAAAAAAAAAATGAATAAAAAAAAGATTTGGACCTTATATAACGTTTTTTTCAAGAATTATTGACGTTTAATTCTAGCGTTAAGAAGAAACTAGTTTAATTTCAGGATAAAAATGTTTAAATCCTGTTATATGCAAGTGATTAACGTTCAATGCAGCAACGTGTTTGTACGAATTTCCCCCCATAATTGAAGCAAAGATAACACAAAAAAGATGGGATATCCGCAAATTGATTGGAAACTTGTGATTTACTAAGTGAATGGTGGATATGGGAAAATCCACATGAAACGATAAGAATAATTTTTATTATGATGGAAAAAAAAAAAAGAAAGAACAAAAGAAGAGTTTTTAAAATAATGCTTAAGCTTTGTTTAATCAAGTGATACGAAATTTCAATATAAACAGTTATATAATTAAAGAGAAATCGAATGTTGATCAATTAGCCGATGAACTAAAAATTCTGTTATCTTTTTGCATATAATATATAATAGGATTAGTGTTTTCATATGTTTGGTGAACTTGGCTCAAAATAGTATGATTACAATCGTTTTTAAACTAGCGTGAAACTTCATATTATCAGGATATTGATTGGTGGGGAAAGGGGGGGACTTTGTTCCGAGATAGTTTTAATTTATTTTTTTTTTTTTGATGAAACAACATTTTTGTTTATTGTTTGCATTAAAGTAATTGTGAACCATGTGAACCAATGGGGAGAGAAGAAAAAAAAAGGAGATTGTTTGCTAAAAGAAAAAGCGAATCTAACATCTTTTTGTTGGTGACCAAATAAAAAAAATTCAAGTTTTTTAATGAAAAAAAAAAGAAAAAAAAAATTGTAAAGGGATATGCAATGCAAAAACATGAGTTATCTTGGTGGTGTAATGTGATGAGTAAATGAAAGAGAAAATAGTATTTTGGGAAACCCAAAAATCCAACGCATGCAGGATATCAATCTGGTAATCGACCGGTTTGACCTGTTCGACCTTGTTTGATGTTATGTTGTCTTACCAAGAATTCACAATTTACAACAATATTTTCGAATCAATGATTATCCAAGGGCACCTTGTGAGCAAACAAAAAAAAAATCAAGCCATGATCAAAACTGTCTTGTTTATTTTATAAACCAATTTTTTTATCTTGAAGCTCTTTCTCACGCCAAATTTCTAAAATCGGGACTGTCATTTTAGTAAACGTATTGTCACTTGTATGGTTAAATCGAATGATGAACCATTTGAAAATAAAAGATCCTCCCGTGTTTTCCTATCATCACATCATTTGTTTGACCATCACCAATTTAGATTCGGTATAGTGTTTTTCAGGTTTCATAAAAATACAAACTTAGGCTCGATCTGGAAATTTATTCTGGAACGATCAATCCTTTTTTAATGATGATGTGACTTTTTTCCTTGGCACATGTAAATCTTTCTAAATGGATAAACAACCTAAAATGTGCGACTTTAATTCTTGCCATTGTCAATAAAAATGATTCGGTCTGTCTTACCTGTCACTGTCTATTTTCTGTTAAATTTATGCAATCATCCTTGTTGCTTGGGTCATTTGATTTATTAAATTAATAAGGTTTGTAATGTAAACTTTTGTATTATATTAATTGTTTCTTATCAGATTTTTCTATTGTAAATAAATGATATGATATTAATTTTTTTTTCTTTGTGTCTTTATTATTATGTATGTAATATTTCAAATATTTGCATTCCTTACATGACTCATAGCCACATACCTTTGTATAACCTTTTCTTTGCACATGAAAGATATAATCCCATGATTAATACATTTGCTGATTCGAATTAGACTGCATTCTATTTTTACTCAATATGTTGTCATCATTAGGGGGTTTGATATATTCTCCTCAAAAAAGAAAATTATTTTATATCTATATTTTTTTTTTATTCCGTATATTCCAGTTATCGTTAGATTTATCTTTGTAACGCAACAAATAAATAAACATGCTGTTAAAAATACGTAATATATAACCAAATATTCTGGAAATTTACACCGGTCATTGGGATCAGTCGTTTCGTTTGAATAAATTTGCCACGAGAAAATCTTATTAATTTAATCGTCTTTAGTACCTTAGGCAAAATAACGCGTCAGAAAGAACTACGTATATCCTGAAATTTTTGTGCAAATTCGATTCATGGTTCTTTTATTATTATTTTAAAATTTCATTTATAATTAACATTAAATTTTTCGATCTTTTTAAAATTTTCTGACCGATTAGATTTTTGACAAAAACAAGTTTTACTACTTGAAAAAAAAATTTTAATTACACCAAATATTCTCAAGTGGCGGCGTACTGATTTACATTACCTGCAAAGCTGCAAATCACAAAGCATTTGAAGAGAAAAAAAAAAAAAAAAAAAATATGATGCTTTTCCAAATTTGTATGCTATTGCGCTTTTGATACAGTGTATTATATACTGGCTTTTTTTTATATAATTTTCTTTCTTTTTCTTTTTTTTTATTTTATAAAAAATTTTTATTAAATTTTTACTGTTTGGATAAAACGGTTAAATTAAATGGTTGTAACCTTTTACTGTTACAAAGGGATCTAACGGGTTGCTGCAAAATTATGCAGTAACATAAAAAACTTAAAAAAGGATTGCAATTACTACATTTATCATAGAGGACTCGTAACATGATAGGAACTGTTGTGTAATTCTAAATAATCTAAATTTTTATTAAAATTAAAAAACAGCAAAGGTCATTCCCCAAAAATGATTTTTTTTTTTTTTTTTATATTAATAATTATTTATTGTTACGCATTTAATTTATTTTTCTACGTTTTTATATATTTTAAATATTAAATAAATAAATAAATATTACCTAGACGTAACGTTATTGACATGAATTCGTGTTTAATTAATACAAGTTTATACGAAGGTTTTATTTAGTTATTCGGTAACGAATCGAACAAATTGTCTTATAATTGGTTAAATTTTTATTCTTCACGAAATGCAATGAACTTTTTATAGTTAATTAATGATAAAAAAAAAAAAACTATTTCATCCGATGAAAATTTCTATTCTAAAGACATTGATTGTAACCCTGTCTGTCCGTCCGCATGCGTATTGACATCCAATCAATATTGCATGTCAATTAAAGTTATTTTTTTGATTTTACATTTTTACATTACTCAATACATAGTACTGTTACATGTTTCAAATTTCTAGCTCCAATCATTTTACATTTACTCGACTATTATCAAACAGATCAAACCCTTCCATTATTAGGCAAACGATTCTGTAATGGTAAAATTCTTAAATGAATAATGCTTTATTAAATACTGTAGCTTAGAAACCAATCTTAAATTTGATGAATCTCTTAAAATTTACAGAAAAATAGCTTAAATAAAATCTAATAAATTTCTTAACGTTAAATCATATGTCTATTATAATAAATTATATATGGATGGATGGTATGCATATGATTTACTATGTATGTCTCATACCTCAATTAATAACATACCGCTTACATTTTCTTTTCAAAAATTAGTTTTTTTAATTTAAATTTTATTTTAAAACTCATTTTACTGATATAGTGATATAATTCTAAACTTTTTATTTATATTTTTATATTTGTTTACTTAAATCAAATACTTTAAGTATCATATATTAAATACTTTGAAATAAAGAAAGAAAGTTGGAGGAAACTATAAAAAAAAATTGATCTTTATATCTTAAACTTGATTGTAAAATTACTTTTAATCATTAAATAAATACTATTTATCTTAAACAAGATGCATAAAACTAATGATTAGCAAAAAAAAATGGTTAAAAAATAGGTATAAAAAAGATATTAAATAATTGTTTAAATAATAATAAATAATATTTAAATAAATTATTAAGTATATAATTATTTTTATAGACTTTACAAAAAACTGTTATTCTTTCTGATTTAAATCATATATTTAAAATTTATTTAGAATTATTACTCTTTATTTTTACTTAATTTAATATACTTATTTGATAAAGTATCTAAAGATAAGTATTATATTATAAAAAAAATTTATATTAAAATAACTTTAGAATAAAATTCACATATTATATTATGGTATCAGAAAAATAATATAGTAAATTGGTACAAAAAATAAACAAATGATATATTTTATCAAATATTAAAATAATTTTTTATTATTTATAAAAAAAAATAAGTTAAAAATTCTATAATTTTTCTATAAAACTTTATATAACTTTATATAAAAAAAATTTAAAAATTTATAAAGTTTATTACATTTAAAAAATATAAATAAAATCAAATATCTTAAATAAAAATTTTATCAAACTTGAATTAATTGAAAATTAAATAAAAAAATTTAAAATTATAGTCAAACTTTGATATAATAAATTTTAGGATCTTGATATTAACTTTATTATAATAAATTAAAGAATTTAATTGGCTAATTTATTATAATAAGATATTTGATTAATTAAATATTAAAAATTTGCTATATTAAGGGTTTGTTATATCAAAATTTAACTATATTTAATAATCTAGTTAATCAATTTTTTATTATTTAATTTTTATTTACTATAATTTATTACTAAATTTAATTGATTAATATTATATAAAAAAAAATATTAAAATATTAAAACTAATATAATTTATATTAAGAATAACTATTGTAAAAAGTAAAAAATATAATATAAATATTATATAAGATTAGAATATTCTAGAATAATTAAATAGGTATCATAAAAACTTATATAATATATATATAATAAAAAACTTCAAATTAACAAAAATAATTAAAATATAAATTACTTATATTTTAAATATTGTATAGTTATAATTAACTTAATTATTATAATAATCATTAGTCATTATATATAGATCAAATAAATACCGTAAAGTGTGTTCTATAGTACCCAGGTATTTTACATTCTATAAAATTTTAAGGGGTACTATAATCGGAGGGTACTTTAGTGTGATAGGAGTACAATA